CCCCCCCTTCAGCATGAATTATTGAAGAGAGCCGAGGACAGACGTATGGGAACCGGCAAGAAGTATCATTACGATGCCTGCATAGATTTATGAGGAAGACTGTACGACGGCTTCAACGTCTGGGGGCATTATACTCGGAACGATGAGAAAATCCAGCGTGTAACATAGCGCCGTATGACTGGGAAACCTCTTTTAACCGTGCCATTCATTCAGCGCCGCGCTTTTGGCGCCTCTCTACCGCCGACGAAATCGCCCGCGATACGGAAATCGTCACGTGCGACTGTCGGGGGAGGCACTCGAGTTTCGTTTATTGCCGTGTGTATCTATAGAGAGGCCTGACAGCGGCTCGTTCACATCCAATGCCGTACCTGGCACGGTGCAGCCGAAATCCGCGAACTCTCCTCACCGTTATCTAAAGTGTCACGGCTCATCTGACATTTGCACTGTTGCAACCCGCGCGTGACGCAACCATCGTTAAAGCGGCAGATAAAGTATCATTAGCCGTGAAAATTTTGCGCGAATGGAATCAGAGAAAAAATAAGAGTGAAAAAAAGAGAGAGAAGAGGAGGAGAAAGAAATAGACCGCCTTCAAAAACTCTCAAAATTACGAAATAACCTTGAGTCAACGTACCTACAATCTTATCCTGATATTCTAATGATATTAAAAGTAGACGCGAAAACCTGACTGATTGAGTCAATAATTGTGAGAGAGAAAGAAAGAGGAATAAATCGCCTCAAAAGGTTCTAAAAAATATTAACCGATTAACCTGACTGATTGAATCAACAACCATTATTTCTATTATTTATCTTTCTACAATTATAGAATTAGTTACCTAACTTATTTTTTTTCGCTCTTGGAGTCGGTTTATTTATTTTTTAATGTTTTATTTCGTACTTTTTAATTATTTACTGAAAGTTCTTGAAGTCTGTCAAAAATAAAAGTTTCGTCTTGTTGTCTAGATATTCTCTCTAGATATTCTCGGATTTTAAGAAAGTACTTAAGAAAGTAAGTTAATGGACTTACCCAATTTTCTGGTCATCTGGATAAACCCGGATAATGACACTAATTTACAAACCATGTAGATAACACACTCAACAAAAAGTTTCATCTCAATATTTCCAACGGTTCTCGAGTTAGGAGGAAACACAAAAAAACAAACACATTCAAGACAAACTGAGAATTTTTTGCAAGAAAATATTTATTATAATTCTAAGGCATGTCCTCTAAGGACTGTTATTTGTGATGTACATAAAGAGTCTGAATGTTGAGACAATATTACAGAGCGAATCGATAAATTTATCAACATAAGTGATTTATTATCGAGTTAGGTGAATTGAAATATTTGTATATATATGGAGCGCAATATTAGGTTATAAGATAAATATAAAGAAAGAAAGTAGTTAATTTAGATTAATAGATTTAAAAAAAAATGAAAATTTAGAAATAAAAATTTAGGATTTGGAAATAAAAATTTAGAAGAAATTTAGAAAAAGAAATAATGAAGGAAAAGAGCGCAAGGAAGCGAAAATTTAACTTTACAATTACCGAATGACCTGACGATGGCCGGTCGTGCCGCAATTCGCTGTAAATCGGGACCTTAAATAGGTCCTCAAGGTCGTGACGATGAGTAACGATCACGTGAGCGATCGCGAGCTCTTTCCGTGAGTTGCAACGAATCTCAGTTAGAAATCGCCGGTACTTCCTGACTCGTCGTGTCTGACTTGCTCGCAATGCGCGTTTTAAATACGAGGTCACGACGACAATCGAAGCCTCGTAGCGGATCGTCGAACTCCGTCTTCGCCGGGTCCGCTTCTTCGCGACAAACGGAGCAGAAAAATCGCCGCATGAAAAGGACGGCCATCAGCCAATTAGGAAATTGATGAGCGTCAATGAGCTAACGATGTTCCGTGGGCGTGTAATCGCCGGAATTATACCAAGACTCGCCTCCGATGACACGTCCGATGTCCGTCCAGCCTGGATTTAAACGGGCCAACGTGCCGCAGCATTCTCGAATAGGACGATACTTTGGACGGTCAACAGGCATCCGCCGTTTGTCCACCACTTCCGGGTACGATCGAGTCCACAAGGGGTCTTACGGTTATCCCAATTACCGCGGCGGACGACGCGCGTTTCTATCAAGCCGTTATTTCCTGAGGAGTCTCCGTGCAATTCTAGGCGTTTTAACGTTCTGCAAGTGTTGTGCAGAAACGCAATATCCATCGGAGAAGCTCAGGCATTTGGATTGTATTGTCAGCTGTACGATATAGAGCTGCCGATTACGGGGAGTCGATTTGAGTAATTAATTCGGAATTTCGCGGCGAGGCAATAATCATTATGAAAACTCAGCATGCACGAACCAAAGGCAATTTAACGAGCGGCGCTGCTCTCTGCAGCTGGGTCGCTTCGAGCAGATCCTTCGTCACTAGTTGTTACACTGTGGAGGATTAATGGCTCGTAACCAGGCGACGCGTAGTGTCTAGTTAACGCGCGAATACCTAGAGTTACGTAGATACTTAACGTTACGCGAGTACGAGGCCAAGGTTCTGCTCGTTACCCACGTCCCGCTTCGGGCCCTAACACCGATCATTATTGAAACACGCGTCATGTATTTGCGCACTCAGGCCCCGCTCAATGTGCGCTGCTCGCGCTTCGTGTTCCCTGAAAATATAAAGAAAAAAAAAACAAGAATTTGTATCAAGGGTTGCATTAGACATTCAATCTCTTATGCTTATGTTAATAGTTGTCACCTGAAACTTGTCTTATGAGACAACACTCGGATTTTTAGAATTATATCCAAGTTTTCCATTTGTGAATTCTGATATATGTAACATTTATATAATCTGTAATCGTGATTCAACTGGAAAACTCTCATCTGACTCTGAATTCAAGTCCGAATATATCGCTTGAGACGAGCTTCAAGTAACAACTATTAACATTAAACTCGTATTAATAATTGTTACTCGAAACTTATCTTAAATGAGATATTTAGATTTGAATTCAGAGCTTTTCGGTTTGATAGGAATTTATATATGTCATGTCACATATATTATATGATTCAAATGAAAAACTCAAATTTAACTCTAAATTCAGATCTGAATATTTTATCTGGGACAAGTTTCAAGTAACGGCTATTAGTATAGACCTAAGACTCGCGTTAATAGTCTTATGTAAGACATGAAATCTTATGTGAGACATGAGGTCTTATGTGTGAGATTTGGAACTTGTATCAAGTGAAATATTGAAGTTTGAATTGCAGCTGGATATAAGATTTTTTTTTATAAAATCATGATAAAATAAATCATATAATCATTTACTTCCCTTTTAATCGTTGCATAGAATAAAAAATGCTTGGTTGAATTAACGTGACAGTGAAAGAACCAAACGCGTTTTGCTTGAAGAAAACAGAGTTTCTGGTTCTGAGAATCTGGTCTCTAAGAACCAGAAATATTCTGTCTTCTTTAAGCAAAACGCGTTTGACTCGCTCATTGTCAAGTTAATTCAACCATACTTTTTTCTTTACGTGGAGTTCTAGAAAAATCTGGTTTTTCATGCGACTAACATTGCAGCTGAGCTCCTCGCCTGCATTCAATAATTCCAGAAGAGATCTTCACGACTGAAGCTATGAACAGATGCCACAAGAAAAATCATGCTTTTCTATAGCATCAATGACTAAAGGAGATGCCAATAACCATGTGGTTTACCCTATATGTAACATTATCTCTATAATTGCCAGTCAATAGAAAGACTCACATCTTGCTCTGAATTCAAATCTGAATATCTCACTTGAGACAAGTTTTAAGTAACGATTATTACAATAATATAAGCCTAAAAATTACAAATAGCCATTAAAAACTACGCGAGTTGACGTTACTGCGAATGATTATTCTTTTTGCGGGAGGATAATAACGTTAAGAAGAAACAAAGCATTCTGCTTCTGCATCTTCATTCAACTCGTTTCCTCGTTATTCGCGGCCTGGTCGTTTCTGCGATTTGCACAAATCGTCGTCCACTTATCCGTACAAGACATCGAAGCGCAGTAATAGCAGGCTGTTGTTGTACCTGTTGCGAAAAATAGCGATGGAATCTCAGACGTGATCGGTTAATTTCACGGGAGCACCGATAACGGAACGGCCGCCACTTGCCCAAGCTCGGATAAGCATGCGATGAACGCCGGTTGATTTTCGACGCGTTTCGAACACGCCAACGATAATGATCGCCGGCGTCGGCGAGGCTCGGGGATGAAAAAGTTGTGCAAACTCGTGGATTATGCCTCTCGCCCGGCGCGGTATCGACCAAACTCACCGCGAAACATCGCAACGACCTGCCGCAAGTCGCCGCGAAATTCCGGCATGTGACCGGACCCATCAGCGGAAAAGACCTCTCGTGTCGGACCGAGGCCAAGCCTGAGCCCGCATCTTCAGGCTCAGCGACCGGTCGTGCGTCCTCCTCGACGATGCGACGGGGAAAAAAGCACTCTCGTCGTGAGAGCAGCCTCGCTCAACGAGAAGCATCCATTCAGCAGCGCAACGAACGTTCTGTCAAGGGAGGAAGGGCCTATTTTCCGATACAGAGTCCATCGACTAGGCGTCACGTTCAGGAGAACTCGGCGATGCGATGCTCCACTTAATGGGTGTCAATATCTGGCTTCGACTGCGCGTATGCGCGATGCGTAGAGCGACGCCAATTATTTCATGTATGCACACCGGGTGCAGTAGGCACGCGGGAGACTGATACATTGATTGTGTGTGTGTGTGTCTCAGTCCTACATGCGTTTGATTTAAGAGATCACATTCTTAAAGTTAATAGAAAAATGTTTCTGATGGAATTAGTGAAAAAGAAGCATTTCTCCGATAACACTGGTTAACAGTTATTTTGCGCCAAAAGTTACCAATTCTTATTTACCAA